CCCCTCCTCAAACCTTTCTGTGAATGTGTGTATGTCGGTGCCTCACATTTACGCACGTGGTACTCTAAGTAAGCTATCCTCTGCCTCACATTTAACCACATGGCAATCGAAGTAAGCTAAACTGTGCCTCACATTTACTCACATCGTGACCAAAGTATGCTAACAGGGGATTCTGATCAACTTGCATGGCGTTTTGGATGCCAAGCGGACAGACAGGGCCACCATCTCACACAACTTCCTTCGCCCAAACAGAGCATTGATATCAAGCACACGCTGTGATAGTGCGTACTTGACACTTGTCCACGTTTGACGGTTGGAAGCTAAGTTAGCGCCACCATCTTTCGAGCTTTCCATCTTCCCGTCTTGAGAAGACCAACGATTTGCATTACTGCCATTACCATATACTCTCACCTTGTCCACCTTTTCTTCCCTGGAGCCAGCAAATGATATACTTCCACGCGTGCAGAAGAAAAACACTTCCATTGATCACATAATCACATTCAATGAGTTCCATTTTTTCACTGAGACCGCCGATCTCTGCGTTCCATGTTCCGTATGTGCATCCCAACACTCAGCAAGCACCCTGATCCACCAAACCTGCCTATCATCATCATCACTGTCCTGTATGTTTCCATTCTCACACTCACTTAATCTCTCCACTCTATAACTCCAACAACTTTTTGTCGTGAGGCGCTTTCATTCCTCCCTCCCCCGTGTCTCCCAACCACGTATACGGCTCAAGGCAAAAGAACTCGTCAATCCTCCTCTTCCCCCTTTCCCTCTCTTGCATGCTCCAAGGGACGCGACATGACCATTCTCCTTAACCTTCTACTGCATATCACACCATTATACCTAATAAGATTTCACAGTTTTTGTCTCTCTTAGGTGTTGCAAATGTCAGAGAGCACACCTCTTTTCTTCTAGTCCTACATAGGCACCGCCTGCCTCCAATCCCTTTTAAGCCACATTGCAGGACTATATACTCTTGGAAGAATGGCGGCGCCAATGCTGACACACCGTTGGTTATAGATGTAGGTGGTTTGATTCGGTTCGGTTTGCTCACACATGGTCGGTTCATCGACACTTTCTCTTGTTTAGTTGAATAAGGACGGTGAGAGCACACCGCTCTTTCAAAAACGTGTAAACCATATCTCAAGTCCTGCAAGTTCCACGACATGGGCACCTACCTCATCCATCCTTCTCACCCTATCACAGGGCGTCGAAGGACTACGACAGCCAGAACAACGATCGTAACAACAACGCATGAGCGCATGGTTGTTTCAAGAACGCTATTCCTTCCACTCTCCGTGTTGTCATTCTCGCCAAACATCACCCGCTCCATACGCGTAACAATGCTGCCCAGCGCATCCACAAACGATCCCATTAGATGGGACAACATGTTCTTCACATGATCATACGCAACAACAAACGGATTGTCATTCTGTGGTGCGCTGCTTGGCGCCCGAGGCTCGCCTCTCTCCTCCACGACTGGCCGATCTGCACCACACGCAATAAACAAGCAGAGCCATCAGATTAGAACGTCTCTTCTCTGGCATTTAAACCACCAGTACTTGGCCCATACATCGGCCGCGGACGTTTCCCGTTAACGCGCCGCGACTGATGGGTTTCGGCCTACCGGACCACAATGGCTGGAGGCACCAGCCAAAAGAGAATTGAAACGACGTGGCGGCGGCTCGGCAAAACTTGGCGCGCAGGGCGTCTCCCGGCTCGGCATCAATAGCTGGGCCAAGTACTGGTGGTTTAACAGCCAGAAGACCTGTGAAACTGAGCTACACACCACGCAGCCCATGGCGTGTCCTGCCGAAATTTGCAACCGCCCAAAGAAAGCAATCGCTGCCCATTTCACTTAGTTTTTTCTAGCCTAGATGACCCATACTGCAATCTGTAGCCAGGCTACACTATTCTACCGACTCATTTTCGCTACAGAGGAGGAAACTCAGGGAGGAAAAGACATATTGGGTTCCATCTGCGACAACATAAGGCTATGGCTCCCATACCTGGGAGAATGGACTTTGTTCCGTTTCTGTGGCAAGAGAGAAAAACCATTAATAGAAGACGGAGCGCACCCAAAACTGCTTCGTCATCTTCTTCTTTTCCATCTCACAAACAGCCCTCCCTCCCCTCCATTCTTCTTCTTCTTCTTCTTCTTCTTCTTCTTCTTCTTCTTCTTCTTCTTCTTCTTCTTCTTCTTCTTCTTCTTCTGCCGCCTCCTCTAGATTTGCGCCACCACACGGCTCACTCAAACCACCTCACCAAAAACATTGTCACCTCACAACTCCCCCCCCCCCCCCCYTCTTCTTCTTCTTCTTCTTCTTCTTCTTCTTCTTCTTCTTCTTCTTCTTCTTCTTCTTCTTCTTCTTCCTCCTCCTCTAGGTTTGCGCCACCATATGGCCCACTTCAAATCACCTCACCAAAAACACTGTCGCCTCCCCCGTCACTTTGTCTTCGCCTTCCTTGTCCTCCTCCTCCCTCACCTCTCTGTCGTGTACCGACGTGCCATGTGCAAATCGTCACAGTGCAATCTCCCTCTTCACTTTCCTCCTCCTCCTCCTCCTCCTCCTCCTCCTCCTCCTCCTTGTCTGGTCAGCAGTTCATAGCACTGCTGCACCTGTAGTTGGCGTCCACATCTCCTTCTTCTTTATGCTCCCTCTCCTCATCCACCCTTTGTTTCTCCTTCCTTCACCCCACTCCATATCCCTGCCCTCCTCTTTCTCGCTACCAGCCTTTTCCTCTTCCTCCTTATCTGGGCCGTGAATGTGGCACCATGCAGTGCCCTTCATGCACAAATGCTTCTATTTTTATTTTTTTCTGCGCTCCAGATTTCGGCAACGCCATGTGGTCCTAGCTGCAATCTCTTTCCAGGTCTGCTGTGTGACCCTCCCTCCCCGCTGGGTGGTTGGACTTTTGCGGTAAAATCCCTTTTTTTGTGTGTGCGTGTGTGTTGGGGGGGGGGGGTGCATACTTGCGGACGGCCAGTAGGTCCCCCCGTCTGTGCAAGTGCCTGCCAGCCATTGGGGATGCCTGAGGCTAAGCACGAGGCGAAGCTGCCTGCATGGAAAGAAACGCGATAGCACAGTCTTGACTGCAGACAAACCAAACATATTAATTGAGATGTTCGAATCATGATGGGACCATGAAAGAGCTGGGGATTTTCATGTGCTAAATTCTGAAATCTACACAAGCATCAGCAGCAGCCAGGATTGTGTAGAGATTTTAAACGCCATAGCCAAGTCCTGACGGCAGATAAACCAAACACAACACCCAGGATTGCGTTGCGATGCCGAAATCAAGATGGCGCTTTCATGCATTATATACTGAAAAGTGAACACTTCACAAGCATCCGCACCACCATCATTACCACAAACACACACTCACCACTTGCTGCTATCCTGTTTGACACTCGCCGGCGAAGAAGCTCTTGCATTTGCCGGTTATTCCGAAATGCGTCCCAAACTGCAGGGTCTCTCGCAAGTGAAACTACAGTGTCCTGGCCAAGTACCGTAAGCACACGCACATACCCACACACACAAACATGCCCACACACAGACACACACACAGACACACACACACGAACGCTCACACATGCACATACACACACACACACACACACACACACACACAGAGCAGTGTCAACAGAAGTCCCAGAGATCAGAGCAGAGACGTCGTGCACAACAGAGAGCCCAGAACACAGGATTTCTAAGACGCGATAAGGGTGGTCAGCAAAGAAAGAAGCATGGGTAGATCATTTCCGAGGGAACGGGAGTTTGGCTGTTCAAACCAGCACCCACTCGAATTCTGTTCCAAGTTCTAGTACCAAATGCCATGCCGCACGCGAACCGGCGCTGGAAAGTTTCTCTGACGGACATGGATCAGCACTGCCATTTCTTCTGCTTGCCGTGCTTCGGATCATGCAGCAGTTTATCGTCGCACACACTACAGAGTCCAAGTTTTGAAAGCGAAAGTCAAAGCTTCATCACTAATCAATGCAATAGCTGGTCCTCCTTTGGCCTGAGACTGCTAAGGACCTTCACTTATGCAGCTGGAGGCCTCTCAGCAGAGAGTTGCCAGCAGGCCCCCACCGGTACTAGGTAAGCTTGAACCTGGCCATTTTTAGGGCATGAACATAGCAATGGTGGGGCTTGACCCTCATGCCCCATTACTTGAGTATCGTCGCGCAGTCTGCTGCTGCTTTGCTTTGGTCTCTTCTCTTCACTATCCCTCTTCGTGAACCAGAGAACACCGGGGGACAAACCGCGTAACGACTCAACAAATACCCAACTGAACCCCCTGCCTACGAACCCAACCGCTGCCCATCAACCCAATTGTCGCAAGCCAAGACTATTCAGTTTCCATTTTGCCGCAAACTCTTTCTTAAACCACTGGTACACTTCTACAACCTCCCCTGCCATGTACCACCAGTCAACACGCGACCACAATCAGCAGCGACGAAAGCTCGCCCTGACCTCGCAACTGTTCGGCGTGTCGAGGGCGGGGTGGGGGGGCAATATCGAGCATCAAGAAAAACCGGCTCAAGTATTCTGGCGATTCAGGAAGTATTGTCCAGCAACTGCCTCCAGTGGAGAAGAAGTGATGCCTCGTACAGAATATGCTCCAATCAAGTTCGATTCCTTCATTTACAACAGCTTCCCCAAGGCACCCGTAGCACAATAGCTGGCTGTCAACCCACCAACAATAAGGGGCAAGCCCCAGTTGTGCAACGTTTGTGCTTGGAAAGCATGAACTTGGTCATAGTAAGCGCCACACATACAGCACCAGTGGACCCTTGCCCTAGGGGTGTGCCCCAGTCATGCTATGTTCATGCCTGGAAACATGCACCTGGCCATAGCAGCGGCAAGGTGCGTGATTTCCTAGCATGAACGTAGCACCAGTGGGGCACCTGCCTCTGAGATGGGTCTCGCATCAGCACCACGCTTCCCGCCCCCCAAGCTGTACATTTTCAGTCACATCCACTCCGGACCTTTCACTACCTACCTAACACTGCTCCTAAGCCTATACAGGGGACTCCTGCAAGCGTAGTTACCTCTCACAATCAAAGGGATGGACGTTGCCCCCCACTGTAGTCGGCGGTGATCAGGGAAGGGGGGGGGGGGGGCTAACCCAAAGACCTAGCAAGAGGGTTTGGGGCTGCATATTGATGGAGAAAGAGGAGAACAGGGCCACAGATTGAGGACGAAAGAGCAAGAATGTTTTTCTTTCTTTGTTTTTGAAAACTAAGAAAGAGCAAGAAGAATTTAAAGTTAGCAATACCTTTCTTGGCCTTTTGGTTTCTGATCAGTTTAATATCTGATCCGTTGTCCATCGGCCCACACACAAAAAGCCAAAAAAGAAAAAAAAAAAAGTCAACTCAGGGACAGGGATTTCGTAATCCGCAACGTTATCGACGCGCGCCATAAGGTCCTCCTGCAGGGTCCCCACATGAGGGCAATTTGTCCAGATTCGCCGCATTTTCCATACCTGCACTTCGGGGTCGCTCCGAAACAACTCAAATGCCTGGACAACAGCCCTTGCGCCACCAAACTGGGGCACAGGCCATTGTGGTGCGCCACCCGTCCAGCGCGCGGATAATGTTGCCAACCCACGGCGGCTTTCTAGTACGTTCACTTGCGGATTCTCTTGGGCGGCCTGCGCCTCGGTCGCGCCAGAGGGCGCAGAGTCCATCCTTTCTTTTGCGTCACCAGTCTCATCCTGCTCCTTCTCTGCACCACGCAAAGCTTGCAGCTCAATGTTTCCTGCGGAATTGGTCGTGACTTCATATTCAGAGCCGGAGCTCGAGGATCCAGACGGAAGGCTTGCTTCGTTCCAATCCGCCCTCTCAGACACCTGCACCTCTTCGGCAAACGGACCCGCAAAGAGTCCATTGCTCCCAAGTATCGTCCCACTGCATAAAACCAACAATACGTACAAGTCAGATAGCTCGGTTGGTACACGCTTGAATTGTTGAAATCATGGTAGCTGGCGTTCAGCCCAGGCCGAACGGTCGAACCCGGACAGCCGAACGTTCGGGCCCCCCTGTAGACATGCTCAGCCATTCGGGCCGAGCTCAAAACCCCGCCCCCCCCCCCCCCCCAAAAAAAAAAAAAAAACTGGAAAAAAAAAATTATGCAGAAAAATAAACTGAACAACATTTGCCTCAACGTTACATCCAAATTCTTTACCAAATTTGAAATAAAAATAAATATGGAAAACGAACAATAATAAGAAAATTAAAGACATATAAGAAAAAGTGAAGAGAGAATTAAAATCAGTGCGTGGGTGGGCACTTTTTAAACACCGCCGTCTTTGGCGATTTTTCATTTCTTTTTGGCTTAGTCAAATGCCCTGAAAATTTATAGATCTGTATTTTTCACATAGTACAAAACTCGTTAAAAAAAAATCAAAAACTAAATAAAATTGTTCAGGCCCCGAAATAAAGTGAAAACAAAAAGTGAAATGAGAAAAACAAAACCTAGTGCGTGGGCCAAGCAAGTTTTGACACCTCCATCTTTGGCAATTTTTCACTTTTTTTTGGCTTACCAAAATGCCTTCAAATCACAAAAAAAAAAAAAAAAAAAAGACCCCGCAATATTTTTTGGTGGGGGAGGAACCCCTTCAGGTTCGGAACCCGAACACCCAACGTTCGGGGGTCAGCCCGGGGGGGCCGTAACGTTTGGCCTGGTAACCTTGGTTGAAATACAGACGTGAGTTCGAATCCAGATGGAACTAAATAAGTTAGCGCCRCCACTACCTCCGATCCTTTTTTTTTTTTTTTTTACCACTGCCTCCCATCCTGTTTTTGCCGAGCCTGATTTTCACCACGCACCGAGTTTTGCCGAGCCTGGGCCCCATCGTATTTTGTTTTTCGGTACTCGCGGCAGCTACATCCAAAAAGCAACCAAAAAAAAAAAAAGAGAACTTCTGTTGTAGCCATCAGATACAGGGGCTCGTTAGACACTCCTTGGGCTGTCCTCGGGGCCTGAGGAGTTTTCCTTCGGGTCATCCGAGATAATTTCCACCGTCATTCCACTCATCCTCGGGACGGTCTTCCGAGGAGGATTCCTACAGAGGGCCCGCAGCCAGTCCCATAATACTATTGCCGCACTTGTCTGCTGTCCTGTCAACGCCAACCTTCTTCAACCTCTCTTGAGCATCCGCCCACCTCCATTCTCTCGGCTTCATGCGAGCGTATGCGTGGTCCATCCCCTGCAGATGCGCATCCTGGTCCCGCTTCGCCCTGATGAGGACAACCATGTGGTTGACTGACCAGAAGTTCTGCCCGGCCCCGGCCTCCACGTCGCCTTCCCCCTCGCTCCCCGCAGGCGCCACTTTTTTTGGTCATCGTGCAGTCGACGCAGAAGCCTTGCTGACCCTACCCGAACCACCCATGGATTTTTCTGCTTCGGCCAAACGTTGCGCGTGTCGTCCTCGTCCTCGGAGGCGTCCTGGTAATCGTTGGCGTCCACTACTGCCGGCTCTTTTTCTGTGTCCACCTCCCGCACGCACAGTAGCTGCACCCCCCGCGTTGTGGACTCCTTGCGTTCTCGACGCACCTGCTGCTGATGTTCCGCCCACACCTGCCTCCCATCCTGCTCCCCAGCACCACCCGCGAAATCTTCGTCTGTCGGCCCACAGTCAGGTTTGCGGCTTCCCTTGCTGCCACCTCCCAGCAACAGCGATGGAGGCTGCATCCACCTTGGACGACCCGCAGCTGCACATGCTGCTGACGACGGCTGCGAGTGCATTCTCGGACACTCCCTTATCTTATCTAATGGCACCCAGTCTCCGGAGGGAGCCTTTGCAGATCCGCCGACTAGCGCCACTTGCCCTGCGTCGTCGTCGGGGTTTGGGTTGACGAGGACAGTACGTGTGGCGGCCGATGAGCTCCCGCTACACAGCCCGAATGAAAGATTACAGTGTCGCTTTCGCGCATACAGTCTTCCAGCAATTCGGTGAGGGACCGCCGAGACATCGTCTCACGATTCCCATACAACTGGCTCCCCGCCCACTCCTGGGTGGACCCGCTTCCCAGCGCCACGGTATGTGACCGGGCTTCCTCCGCCTCCTCATCTGACGTGTCGGGCAGAGGTTGTTCGTGCGGTGGCAGGTTCGCGTATGCAGACGGGTTGTACGCCCTTTCAGTGCATGCCTAAACGCTGCGCGTCCGGTGGCTTGCGAATTGGTCCACTGAAGACCTGTTCTTCGCCTGCCGCCTGTCCTGCAGATGGGCCGTACGCCCTTGCAGTGCATGCCGGGACGCTGCGCGTCCGGTGGCTTGCGAATTGGTCCACTGGAGACCTGTTCTTCGCCTGCTGCCTGTCCATGACGCCCTTCGTCACTAAATGCCTCTTGCACATGCGTCCAGGCAGCCTACCGAGGATGCAGATGTGGAAGACGATGAGAAGGACAAGCGTAATGACGACCAGGAACAGCAACGGCAGCCTTCGGAAGATGTCAGCCATGAACGACATGTTGGGAAGGGCGGTAACTGCACCACGCCGGTACGCCTCCAGCAAACGGCAGACTTTCGAATCCGACAAACACCGTCCTGATGTCTTGTGTCAAGGAGCACAGCTAGGAATAGAAACTTCAGTCGGCTCAAATATTTGAATTTGCCAACAGTTGGACCCCTTTCCGTTTGGCGGCATGCACTGCGAGGGAGAACGGTGGTCAACGAAGTCTACGGGGGTTGGCAGGCCACCAATGGTTGAAGACCGAAGATATCTGTGCGCTCAGTCAACGGCAACCGTTGGTGGCCTGCGGTGTATATGCAGGGGTGGCACCGCTGGGATAGACTGGATGGCAAAGGGTTAATAAGCAAGCTAGAGAGGTCGGCAGCAACTGCACAGGGTCAGTTGGATCCTGATTAGGAAAGTCACAGATTGGTAGAGGCAGGGAAAATTGGCCTGCAGATTGTGTTTTCTAGAAGGGGAAAATCACAACTGTACCCCATTCAAAGATGGAAATACCCGCTATATTGTGTTTTCTACAAGGGGAAAATTGCAAATGTACCCCATTCAAAGATGGAAATACCTGCTATACCCAGTCCCAGCTCGCAACTTGCATCTATACCCGGGAAATGGACTGTGCAAATTATTTGCATACGCAACACCGAGTTGGCACCGCCAAATTGCAGTTATACCCAACTACCGGAATACAATTTGTTTACATACCCCAGTTGGGCTTGGCACAGCCACATTGCAGTTGTACCCAACTACCGGGATGCAAGTCATTACATACCCGAGTTGGGCCAAGGTTGGCACAGCCAATTTGCAGTTATACCCAACGACCAGAATGCTCAAATTACGCACATACCCCCGGGCGAGTTTTGTGCTTACCCCGCCAAGGTTGGCACAGCCACATTGCAGTTATACCCAACTACCGGGATGCAAATTATGTCCATACCCGAGTTGGCCCAAGGTTGGGACAGCCAAATTGCAGTTATACCCAACTACCGGAATGCTCAAATTATGCACATAGCCCCGGTCGAGTTTTGTGCTTACCCAATTTTTCCTGCTCGGTTTCTGGGCATGAGCATAATTTTGTGCTACGCAACCAAGGGCCTGTGGAAGTGGATGTGTGTATAATTTGAACCCCCCCCCCCCTCCTTCAAAAAAAGACCCACGGGCATTACCAAAACTTGGACACGTTTTTTGGGTATAGATGCACGTTGGGCGCCAGGACTGGGTATTAAGGGAACTTTCCCATCTTTAAATGGGGTGCAAATGCACTTTTCCCGTTCTGAGGAAAATAAAAATAAAATAAAAGAAAGAAAAGAGGAAATGCGCAATGCAGCTCCCTGCAGACACCGTGTACCACAGCAGCAGGCCTATGAACAAGGCCGCTTTCAGGGCCAGGTTCAAGGTTGGGGATGCTGTACTCCTGGCTATCGTTCAACTTTGTCATCTGGTACTGGTACTGCTCTCTTCATCGAAATAGAACGCATGGCTGAATCTATAGACGGAAGAACGCACGGCTGAATCTAGACTGAAAGTTGCCACAAATGCAGCTAGAAGACGGTACTACCTAGACATGGCTCGACGCCTGGAACGCTCCAGACAAATCTTGAAAACGTTTTTCAAGTTTAGTAACCCATCCTTCCTCCCTCCTTGTAGTTCTTCAGCATGAATGTATACAAGCAATCTTTCCGGTCTGGTACAGTCATGATAAGCGTGGGTTGCACTTGGGGGGTCTGGTAAAGTCATAATAAGCGTGTGTTGCACTTGGGGGAAGAGGGTAGTATCTATTCCACCTTGCACTGAGCCTGCAACTCCACCACATCGACCTATTCAATACATACATGTCAAACAGAGCTGCCCGGTAAACCGTACTAGGCAGAGAGGGAGGGAGAAGACGATAGCAAACAAACGAGGGGCTGTGACAAACTGTTCCGTTGCAGTTTCACCGACTCAACAGTTTGTCACAGCCCCTCGTTTCTTGTCCTCTTCTCCCTCTTCTCCCTCCCTCTCTGCCTACTATGGTTGGTTTACCGGGGGGGGTCGACGAAACTCCGACGAAACATTTTGTCACAGCCGGGCCCTCGTTTGTTGTCCTCTTCTCCCTCCCTCTCTGCCGACGGTTGGTTTACTGGGCAGCTCTATTTGACTATATAGATAGCCCCTCGTTTGTTGTCCTCGTCAGGAGGCTGAGCCCTCAACAGTCTGCAGAATCCCCTAATAACTGATTACAGTGTAAGTGATAATCCACCTTAACGCCGGCTGTGGTTACGCATCAACGACTGCCCGACAACTCTATTCCTGATGAGTCGGGGAAGCTCCGACGAAACAGTTGGCTACAGCCCCTCGTGTGCTGTACTCTTCTCCCTCTTATCCCTCTCCGCCTACGGTCTACCGGACAGTTCTGTTTGACGACGATATATACATCGACAAACAGATGTACATGTATCGGCACAACAATTGGCACAGAGAGAGAGAGAGAGAGAAGAGAGAGAAGAGGAGAACACCTTGAACGACGTTTTCCATGCGGGACCTGCCACGTGTCAGCTTGCTAGCCCCCCTGTCACATCAGTCCCTCGTAACCTTAACCTTCTGCATTGTCTACACTTTAGAGATATCTTACCAATACAATACTTTTCAATTGCAACCTCTCTTATTCCCTTTTTAGAACATGATGATGCTAATCGCGCTCTAATGGGATCAAAAATATGCAAAGACAAGCTGTACCTTTGCTTAGACCTGAAAAAACAATAGCAGGGACATTGGTAATAAATTTGCAAACCTTCTACCAAAAAAAAAAAAAAAAAAAAAAAAAGAGGGGCAAGCAGCATTAGATTCGGGAGCATTAGTACTATCTAAAATAGACCCCCCCCCCCAACGCCCCCCACACCCACCCACCCATGCAGCCGTGAGGGATTTCAGCGTCAGCGACGCGTCCCGATACCGACCGGATCAGGCAATTACAGCGGTGCGTTCTCACAGAGAGTCGCATCATGCAGCCGAAATCACGTCCAGGTGCGTTCCCCCAGAGAGGTCACATCGTATGCACACAGTTTTTTTTCCCTTTTCCCCCAACTGGAAACGAACTGTTCGCCATCACGTGGAAAGCAATTTAAGAAGAAAGCCAATCAATGCGAAGGCAATTACTAATTTCTTCCAAGTCAATCAATGCCAAGGTAAATTACCTCCTTTCCAAGTCAGCGGATACTCACACTACCTCTCTTTTCTAAAATTCTAAATGCATCTGACTGCAATTACGGCCAGACCTGAATGAATCTGACCGCAATCACGTCTAGAGCTTTGTAGAAGGAAAAAACAAGGTCCTCATGTGAGTATATATGCCCTCGATCGGCGAAGACGGTACGTGCAATTAGTACAGTAATACAGCAATTTCCTTCCTCCTTCCAACTACCGTCTTCCCGCGAACACAACGCACCCTAATTTTGGCTGCATGGGACCGGAAAGCTAGGTCGTATACATTCATACTTAAACCACCAGTAAGAACTTCCTCGAGTCGTGCCCGTTAACGCGCCACGATTTTAGGAAACGTACGGACTACTACAGGAGTGCCCAAATTCATCCGACTAGAAACGTTTTTACTCCTTTTTTTTCAGCGGCAGATAACTGGGCCAAGTACTGGTGGTTTAGTAAGGGTGCGTTGTGTTCGGGGGAAGACGGTTTAGCAGAGAGGAGAAATCAGTCGCGATTCCCACCAACCACGGAGATCGGGACCCTTAGCTCAAAACCAATTTCGATTTCAATTTCGATTTCAATTTCGATTTCAATTTCGATTTCAATTTCGATTTCAATTTTTTCGATTTCAATTTCGAATTCGAATTTCAATTTCATTTCGATTTCGAATTTCAATTTCGATTTCAATTTCGATTTCAAAATTTTCGATTTCAATTTCGAATTTCGATGTCGATTTCAATTCCGATTTTCAATTTCGATTTCAATTTCGATTTCAATTTCGAATTTTAATTTCGATTTCGATCAGATATTCGAAGCATGAAGAGAGACTCATTGGTCCAACTTTTTTCAATTCTTTTGCGAAAAAGCGCTCGGCGCAGATGGCTAGAAGACAAGCAGGGGCTAAAAAGAATTAGCATTTAATTTTATTTTATTTTTTCTAAGAAAAAAAAAGGAGACGACAAGCAGACAGCACAAGTGAAAAAAAGGGGAAAGTGGAGAAGGAAGTACCGAGGAGAAGAGATGAGAGGAAGGGGAGGGTGGGAGAGGAGAGAGAGGAGAAGATGCTAAGGTAAAGGAAAGAGAAACACGAAGGGGGGAAACAGAGCAAAAGAGAAGGGGGGATGGACGAGAGAGAGAGAGAAAGAGAGAGAGAGAGAAGATCGACGGGGAGGAAGACACAAAAGGGGGGGGGGGGGGGGGGGGAAACGAGAAGCGAGCAAACAGGAAGAGAGAGGAGAGGGGATAGACAAGAGAGAAAGAGAGAGAGAGAGAGAGAGAGAGAGAGAGTAGAAAGGTAGAAGAAGAGAGGAATGATCTTACGCCGTCTTCTCCAGAATAGAACGTACGGTTATTAAGCCTGTAGTTGGGGCAATTTTCAGTCTAGATACAGCGACAATGACCGTACGTTCTATTCGGGGGAAGACGCGGACGAATGGCAGCTAAAACGCGGAGAAACGGACACAAGAGAAGGAGAAACGGACAAAAACGAATAGAAGCAGAGGAGTTCCAAAACAAGGAAAGAAGAGGGAACACGAAAGAAAAGCCCAAAGAAAGAGATTTTACCCCCCCCCCCCCCCCCCCCAAAAAAAAAAAAGAGCGCAACGAATCAACCGATACGCCGAATAACAGAAGACAACAAAGACGCGACATATACTCCTCTCCATTGTTGGGGTATTTCGTTTTGCGGACCTACTTACTGTATGGTTCCCTTTTTTTAATCGTGGATATGGTAGAATCTCTTTTGGCACCCTTGTCTGCATCCCGGTTTGTTTTGTCCCGTTGTTCCGTCTATTTTTGGAGAGCGAGCGTAAATGTGGGACCAGTCATCTGCGGGTTCTTTCTTTTTAAAGATGAATTGCTTTATCTATAACACTCTATTTTTTCTAAGTAATTTATCAATTACTCTTTTTTTTTTTTTTTTCCCTATTATCTTTTTGACATCCTAGTTGGTTGTTTCACGTAGTGCGGCATATTGAAATTTTGAAGGAGAGGTGGGAGGTGCTTTTAGGTGGGAATCGTCATATCTGGGATTGTCTTTTCATGTTTTTTTTAATGTTGATGGTGTTCCAGTATTCAGTTTCGACCGGCGTATACGACGCCGACGCTGGAGAGCAAGAAAGGTTAAGGAAAAGGAATACCAACATTTTTATTTTATTGCTTTATTTGTTTATTTGTTTATTTTGTAAGGAATAGCAACAGCTTGATGACGGAATAAGGCCATCTGCTGTATAAAGATATAATGTAGTTGGGATTTCGTTTTCTGCAGGCAAGAGTGTTTTGATGATCCTGGTTGGTCTTGTCCCGTCGTTTGGCCTGTGAAGTTGGGGGCGGTGCTTATATGTGGATGTGGGTATAATATGTGGGACTTGTCATCTAGGATCTTGTTGCCCCCTGTTTTGTTATATTTGGCGGTTCCCTTTCTCTTTTTTGCTGCTCTGCCTTTTGGCTGTGAGCAAGTGGGTCGACATGACACACGGGGTTGGGGGCAGCCGCCGCTCAAAACCTACATCCACGTGGGCGGCCTTGTACGCAAGGGGAGGTTCTGAACAGGGGGAGTTGTAAGGAAGAAGATCAAAAAAAAAAAAAAAAAACGAAAAATGTTTTTTTCTTGTTTTCTTTCTGTTTTTCTTCGCTTTTGCGCTCTCATATCCTTGTGACGATATATCTTATACAAGGAAGAGAAAGGAGAGAGGAGAAAGGAGAGGAGAAGGGAGAGAGGAGAAAAGAGAGAGGAGAAAGGAGTGAGGAGAAAGGAGAGAAGAGAGGGGGAGAAGCTTGGGAGTTGTAGGTACCTTCTGAGAGTCTCGCATAACTCCCTTGTTGCTTCCTCCACTTCTTCTTGCCCAGGAACCTTCTCAAAAAGTTGGGAGTACCTGGCTTCGGTGCCACGACGGCTACCCTCCTCTTCATCATCGTCGACCATATCCCAATCATTGTCCAAGGATGTAAATTGAGAAAAAGAGCGAGACGGAGGTCCAAAAATTCCTCGCGCTGCCTGGAGCTTAACCGTCCCGCCGGTCAAAGGACCCATCAGCGGGGGGGAGTGCACATGGAGCGCTTCCGCCTGAGCGGGGGAAGACGCGGTAGAGGTAGCCGCCGCGGCCGCAACTGCGGCGGAGGCGACCACCGCCCGCCCCTGCGCCATCGCGCGGAACATTGTGCTTCTTCCCCTTCGCCCTCCCCGTCCTCCCCCTTCCCCCTCCCCTTCCCCCTCTACCCTGCCGTTGACCCAACCCCAACCCCTCCAGAGGAGGAGATAACCCTACCGGTAGCCAGACCACACTGCCCACCACGCCCAGCCTCCCCACCCACCAACAACAAACGCCAGCGCCAGCACTCCTCTCTCTTCTCCACTTCTCTCACTTCTCCCACTCCTCTCTCTTCCCCTCTCCTCTCTCTCCTCCCGTCTCCTCTCTCCCCCCCTCTCCCTCCCCTCCCCGCTCTTCCTCCTTATCCTCGATCCCGGCCCACCTGCTGCTAGAAGCAACTGACAGACTCTCTGTCAGAACCAATTAACGTGACATGGACAAGAGAGAGAGGTCTGAAGAATCCCAAGCAAGGCGGATAGAGAGATCGCGATCAGCAAGAACTGCTCGGGCGGGATACCGACGGAAGACAGAGAATAAGCAGAGAGAGAAGAACACGGCGGGAAGCGATGCGACCTTCTCCGCGGATGATCGATGGGAGAAAGCTGACGTGGCGGCTTCCCCCTGGTGCCTGTGGCCCCGTGCGAGCAATCGGCGCGAAAACGGCGTTTTCGCGCGAAAACGGCGCGAAAACGGCGCGAAAACGGCGCGAAAACGGCGCGAAAACGGCGCGAAAACGGCGCGAAAACGGCGCGAAAACGCCTCCTGGCCGTCAACAACAAACTGGGCGGGAAGGAAGAGGCAAGCATTCACTGGCAGAAACTAACTGACGGGCGGGAAGGAGGAAAAAGAAAAAGAAAGCATTTGCTGGCACAAAGGGCGGGAAAAGGAAGAAGAACGCATTTGCTGGCACAAAGGGCGGGAAAAGGAAGAAGAAAACGTTTGCTTACACAAAGGGCGGGAAAAGGAAGAAGAAAGCATTTGCTGGCACAAAAAACTAATTGCCAGCGAACGAAACTCGCAGCAGATCGAGAAGATGATGAACTTTTGGAAAAAAAAAAAAAAAAAAAAAGAAGATGATGAACTGAGAAGCTCTAAGAACGCGACGACGGATGAGATGCGAAGATGGAGGCTGTCCTTCGGGACATCCGTTAAAATTGGAACGATACAGAGAGAAAGAGAAGGGTAATCAGCAAAATGGCCCCTGCGCTTTCAAGGATGACACGCATCAATCGAGAAGATGGAGGCGATGTGGAGGAGGTGCGAGAGATCCCGATAGACCGAAAGGCAGAGAGAGGGCCTCGCTTCGACTCAACCCCGCCACGCTACTCCGGAAACCTGGGAAATGCCGACTGCATTGTCACGAAGAAGGTGACCAGATACGTCCGCCAGTGAGCAACGTTTGGTGGTTCAAGTCCGAATCCGCTACGCTGATTAGGCGAAGTATGTTAACAAGCACTACAGGTTGACATGATTACAGAATTACATAACTCTTGCGACAGCCGTCGATGACATCGGATCCGATCGCGCATCAGGATTCAGGAGTGCCGTGCAGTGCAAGGCATCACCAACCCGCCTCCGCGCATTCGGAACGAGTTCGCGCAACGGCGGAGCGCAGGTGAGGAGGTGGAGGCGACTCTCTTCCCACTTCTGCGCGGGAGCCAATTAGCGCGGGAGCTAATTGCGTTACATAAACCTGGTCCAATAGCGCGCCAGGATATGACAGATACCAGTAAGGTCAACTGGCCGACGTGGCAAGCCTTTCCTTTTACGTGGGGGGGGGAGCAAACCTTTCGTAGTGGAACGCCGAAAAGCCACGACAGATACGACTACCGGGGCGGCAGTGTCGGGAGGCAACGATTGAGCAAACAGGCAACATCACTCACCACTACCTAGCCTGAATTGGCCTGCCGGTAACCTGAATTGGCCTGCCTAGCCTGAATTGGCCTGCCGACCCTTAGGGGCCAGAGCCACTACGCTCAAACACAGCCCGGTAACACTAAAGCCAAATAGCCGTGTCTATTTAGAACAGCCGCAGCACCTTTCTGCAGGTACCCCATATGGGCTGGTGAAGGGTTGGTATTGTAAAAAAAAAAACACCTGAAATACTGGACATTGTGGGTGTTGTATGCAACTGTTTGATACCAGGCGGCGAAGGTGGCATCTTTGACAAGAGAGTGAAGCAGGCAGCCTTTATGCAGTGAGGAAGTGGTCTCTAAGGTGGATTCCATTTGTAATTTGTAATTTGTAAGTACATTTTTTATAAGTCCGCACTGTTCAAGGATCGAACATGTCACCTCTCTATCCGGAGGCAAACACTCAACCAAACAATAAAGTGGACCGGGGTGAAAGTTAAGCCCCAAGATGAGCACTTAACCCCACCCCGACACGGGTACTCGTTTTTCCCCATCATCTGGTGTACCCGGTCACACACATGCACAATCGAAGTAGACAAAGCCACCACACAATGAAGACAAATTTGCACACCAGCCGAAGCTAATGGCACCACCCGATCGTGCCCAAGCCACTGCAAGGTCGATCGAGTGGCTCTAATGCATTTGTAAATACATTTTTTATAAGTCCGCACTGTTCAAGGATCGAACACGTGACCTCCCTATCCGGAGGCAAACACTCAACCAAGGATAACCTAACCGAGGGCCTAGCTGTCAAGGGGGTTTGAAGTAGCAGAGAATCGCTGGGGGTGTTGCCGACCCTCCCAGTCATAGTCATGCATCTTGTCCATCATCGGCAACAACAGTCATGGCAGAGCTGCAGAGGAACGTATTGATGTGGCTGCAAAAATTGTGTTTGTTGTGGCAGCACAACTTACTTGTTCACTTCAGAGGAGTATGAAGAGGGTGGCATTAAGTAGGAATTGGATAGGAGTCAAACGATGATTATTGCTTGCATATTGAAATGGATGGTGGTGGCAAGCAGTGGCGTTGTCCACGTGTTATCCATGCCACATGAGGGCAGGAGGCAGAGTATTCAGGCTCGTCCATGAGATTATGTAGCGATGGTTATGCCCTATAGTCCCACTTTGATTGTCCCTCTCTTCGCCAAATGAAGTTCACCCTCTAGCTTTTTATTATCGATTATATATATCGTGAGATATAGAGGGTGTTCGCGTAGGCACTCTATAGCCAATAGTGTGTATCTTCCAATGTTCATATACGTAAACTTTCGAAACTGTAACTTAAAGACATCAATGGAAAACAATAATGTTCATTCCAAGGACGACTGCATTAATGTTATTGTCCTTGTCCCTACTTATATTGTCGCGCGTGCACATACATGGTTTTTACGTACATAACGTGCTGGGTAAATGGACACTAACCAACACCCTGACCCAAAAAAAAACAATGTACGGGATCCCTTCCGTACGAATAGTGTACGAGTACGGGTTCATACTACTCTGATTGCTCACCATCCCATCCATTTCCAGTTATTGCTAGTATGAGAATATTAAATTTTCCAAAGTTCAATCCATTATTGTATTTCACCACATATTTGGAAGTATGCAATTTTGGCAAAACCACAATATTGAAAATGTGGAAATGATCCTTTTAGACATTTGTTAAAATTAGAACGATATAGAGAAGATTAGTAAGACCCCTGCATAAGGATGATGCATATAAATCAATAAATAGTTTGTGGTCGACAAATCTCACATTACTACTCATTTCTCGTAGTACAGCGGAACTCAACCCTTTCCCGCTTTTGCAAAAATAACATATCGAGTTGCTAAACTACTTCGTGGTAGCCTTCGGATACTAAAATTAAGGTTCAGTTGATGGACCTACTTGTTAAGGTCATGTATTCAAATCTCATTTATCTCTTCCACTAATTTTGGTATCAAGGGTGGTGACAAGCAGTAACATTATCGATGTGTTATAAGGCGAGGAGGAAAATTTTGTGGACACGTCCATGAGATCACGCACTGGCAGTGGGATATGGTTAACCCCTATGGTCCTTGTTTAATTGCCCCGCATATCTCCAAACAACTTGAAAGCTAACTCACTAACTTCTTATCCTCGACTATAACATCACTAGATACAGAGGGTGGTCACTTAGGTGCACCATAGGCAATGACATATGTCTTCCAAAATTATATAGGCATACCACCTAATCGTAAGGGGAAAAAAAAAAAAAAAAAAGTTGCGTTGATATTATTCAATTTATCCTCACTCCACAAAAATGACAAGGTGAATGATCAAATCTTCGCAAAGTTCAGATTACCTTCAAGTTTGGATCATCACACATTATTCATCACTTTCTTACTAACTTGCATTTGATCAAACAAAAAACTCATGTTGACCATCCCGTCCATTACCACTTTTTTTTTTTTTTTTTTTTTAGTACCATTAGGAAAACTACACATTCAGTCTCTCCAAAATCGGTCAATTATTTTACTTTATCAAATTTAGAAGTATGAATAATGCATATTCGACAAACTCCTATGTATTATGTCGATAAAATTTTAATTATCAGTTGTTTTTAATATAGTGAGACAACTCCTTCACACTTTCGCAAAACTATCTATTAAACCACTAGACTAGTTAATGACATTTTTCTAATTTGAAATTTAAGGTCCGATCAATGAGTTTGGCTCAATTGATAAGGTAGACAAGTTCTACTTAGGAGGTGACGGGTTCAAGTCTCATTTCCTTTACACAAATATTTGGGCATGCTTGATAGTCTCTCATTAGAGATGATCCATTAGACCTCAAGTATTAGTACAATGAAATATTGTTGGTAACTAACTAAACGTCATTAATATAGGCTGGTGGGAGAGGAGAAAAAAAAAGATATGGTGAATGGACATGGTGTTGGGCACTAGCACAGTCACTTCTATATTTGTGAGGTCTTCCCAGTCCCATATTATTGTGATGAGGGATTGATACAGGTTTAGTCTCAAACTCACGCTTTATGGTGCAAGACTACTATATGGGTTTGATAATTATGGTTGGTAGGTATTCCCCTATAGTGTATATACAAAATATATACACTAAGAAATAAAAAAAAAATAATAAAAAAAAATGATGATACACTTGGCGATGACAACATGAAAAAAATAAAGGTGATCATGGATTAGGGAAAAATAAATTGGGACATGTTCAATATCTTACTTTGCCACAATTTTGAAAGTATGCAATTTTGACAAAACTAGCATACTGAAAATATAAAAACGCATATTGAATACGCCCTACCAATTTGTTTTTTAGACAAATTTCATTATTAGTCTAATTATACTATGAAGTTCGACCTTTATAAAAAATAAACCCATTAAGAAAAGAGAAATGATGATAGAATTAGAGATAAATTGATAAAGAAATGAAAGGT